AAAATGTAATAGGTCAACTGGAATACAACTAAAATGTAATAGGTCAACTGGGTTACAACTAGAAATGTCATAGGTCAACTGGAATACAACTAGAAATGTCATATGGATTACAAGCAAACAAAAGTAATACACATCACTAATTTTACTTGAACTTGATATCACCATGTTTTTATAAGACTGTACAGTATTGAACAGTCTGTATAACCTTTCTTTAACATAACATGACTTTATGGACACTGTAGGTACTATGTACAGATTAGAATAGCACATATTGGTGCAAGATTACTACCAGATGGTTTACACTGATTAATTAAATAATCCATCAACAAATACTTTAAGGTATATTATAACTACGGTTTGTTATACTATAGAAATGCAAACCAGTCAGCACAATGTACAAAACATATTCCATGATAGTATTGAGAACAAGCGTTGAAAACATGTTAGTTTTTGGCTTAGTTCTGTTGCCACAACCTAATTTAATTAAAATATGTCTTCACATCAATAAACCTCATATTAGATGAATAATCACAACCAATTTACCATCATTGATAAGTGATGAGAGCAAGGAAACAATTCCTTTTAATATAATATATGATATTACATGAATTCCACAGTTAATTCTATAAATGAAGACGAATATTGTCATATTATTATATTTTATAATGTGGTACATGTCTGAAAATTACATTTTACCAAACATATGATTTATCATTGTGCGAGCAGTACAATGAATTGACCCATCTTTTTTGAGACTAAGGATAAATATGTTAAAATCTATTGGCACTTTAAAATCACAATTAATTATCATAAAAAGTGCATACCAGTACTAATGAAAATATCATACTATTTTTGTATTGTGTTTGCTTAAACTTCATACACTGTCATAGTTGAATAAATGTTTTTTGTTTGAACTTAAGTAATTATTTAAATTGATTTCACTTAGTTCAAGAAAAAAATTATACCATTATGAAAACTAGCAGCAATGCACATCAAAACTTGGCGAGGTTGCTTGAATTTAAAAAATTAAGTTGTATATTTGTCATCAAACAGTGATTCACTGACCTATACTGTTATAATCTATAACTACTACTATACCGGTAGTAGTGGACGTCTATTTTATAATGACCTGGACAGAATCCCGGTGTCAACAAATAGCACCAACACAGGGGTGGAGGAGTAAACCTATTTACATGTACTTTATTAGTTGTGTCTGTACCTATGTAAATGACCGAAGTATGTCTACAGCCAAATTATGTCATTAATTTACAATACATACAATTTATGGTTTGTGTGTGTTACTAATGGAGACGAGTCTCTAAGGGAGCAAATACGTTATTTCTTTAAAATTAAACTTACGTAGAACATTAGAGTCTTCGATGTGGATTGGATTCAACAACATAGGAGGCACTCTGTTGTGACTAAAATAATGTAAACTAGTTCGAAAACACTTTTCTTCTTTATCTTTCAATTTTTCAGATTTTTTGTGCAAATCAGCCTTGAGTTTTGTAGAGGATTTTAAAAATTCAGAAATCTTTTGCGATGGTGTCCTAGGGAAAAGTCCGGATTTTTTACTTGCAGGAGATGATGAACTGTCTTCTGATAACCTCCTGAAATAGAAAGTATAGTCAAATTGTTACATAGTCCGCTACATGCACACACAAACGACATCAAAATTACAGGAATACCATGGGTCTGGTAACATTTATATTGACACTTTCGACACCTTTCAACCACCTAAAAGACTAACAAGCAGCCTCTAGCTGAGATAGCTCCGCTGTTAGCAATGCACATTTCAATTAAAGAACAGAAGATATCATTAGAAAATGAACAATATGTATAGTATCAAAGCAATGGGACTTGCTGTTTCAACAAAAATTCAAAATATCATTTTTCACCATAAATGATTGTGG